ACTAAACTGAGTGCATGGTGCGACACTGTGAGCTGTGATGTTTTTAGAGTGCTTTTCTACTGGGCCCAGTCTGATTTGTGCTATAAACTGGTGATTTCAAAAATGGCGATTGGCCTCTTGCCACTGAGTTGATGATGCTTTATGTGATTAATTGCGTGTGCAACAAATGTCTTTTTGTAACTGCTGTTTTCATCAACGATGAGCTACATTTCACGTGTCAGACTGTTGGTGCTGGCACTCCCAACAGCCTTCTAATGCATTTAATGTGTATTAAGACTACAAGCTTGGCACAATCACCCACCGAGTGACTACTGGTCTCTAAAATATAGACCCAATTATGTTTGCCCAATAGGCCGAAAGGTGTAGGAAAAATTCCGTTTACTATTATTAGGCACTTAAACAAGGCTTAGGCACTTTATACCCCTATCCCATGTTTTCTTTCTGTTGACGTTCTTAATGTCCTTAAGGTCATGGTTATCATCAACCAATGCACATGTTTGCAGTCATGCACCCATCCCTCACCAAGACGGCTGTACGAGAAGACTTCAAATGAAAACCGTTAAAGTGTGACAGAACATACCCCCCTAAAAAACGCCATTGTCTTGAAAGGGTGTTAAGCATTAGAAACTGAACTAGGCACTCAAAAATGACCTTGGCTCCCAGGTCGACCCAGCCTTGAGTCGGTACCGGGTGCAGTCCCGAGAAGTAAAGGCGGCCCGTGTGATGCTGATTACATCACCTATCTTGTGCCAATTGGCCTATAAAATATAGGTTTAGCCCTATATGCCCTATATGCCCTATACGCCTAAAGGCGTGGAAAAGGGTCCTTTCCTTTTTGTTTTAAAACTCAACTTATGCACTCAGGTCTGCCCTGCCTAAATCTGGATGTTAGGAATTTTTATGGGAAATCAATTCTGTTGAAATGTTAATGGTCACATCATTTATCAAATACTAGCTCATCTATAAATCACTAGGCTCATATTCCCAGTATTCCTCACCGGTGTGTAATATAGTTTACTGAATGAATTAAATCATATACATAAATACATTCATACCTGCAAACATGAATCAAAGTTTAATGCACTTAAAACCATTAAAACTGAGATCATAAGTGAACTTTTAACTCTGATAACAACAATATTACAAAGAGGAATAATAATAATAATAATAATAATAATAATAATAATAATAATAATAATAATAATAATAATGTTGAATTAAGAATTGACATCACAGCACTCAGGACATTCCCATAAGTGCCCCGTCTCCATCTTCAGCAACAAGCAAAGAGTTCAAATTCTAGTGGTACCAGTAGCTGTATGATTGTATATCCGTCTCCCCTTCAATTGAGTGTTGAGCGTTAGCCAGATGCTTTGGTAACACCAACACCATTCTCCACAGACTGTGATGATTCATCTGTGCTTTCTCACTGTTCACTTGCCCACAAAGGGCCCTTATAACATCTGGCTTGTCATACATCAATTCACCAAGCGACATCGGCGTTGGCCGATTACGTGTACTTTTGCGGGTGCAATTCTGCCTTTCTTGATTGACCGTTTGCGTCAATAGTAAGCTGCAATTCCGAGAGGGGACCGTTAGTGTTGGAACATCTGACAGCTTCCTTAAGTGGTTTTACATTCCGTATGCAAGCTTCACTAGTTACTGGCACTGACAAGTTTTTCATTCAATTTCAAATAGGTCAGTGAAGGAAATTTTGTCTACTCTTAGCTGGTACAGTAAGGGAGACGTTATGGGGTCACCCTTTTGTGCAGAATGTTGAAATGTCGACAAACTTGCTGAGCATTTTTGGTGTTCGGTTGTGAATCCTGACAGGTACCAGTCCTCATAAGAACTCATCATGAGTAAGCTTTTATCTGTTTGCCATCCGCCTTAGCTTTTATTTATTTACGCTAGCCACTCTCCGGTTCATCTATCTAATCCAATCTTTTCCTGAGTCAGGCTGTGGCCTCTTTGCTAGTCTTTGTCTTGTGTGTTTCAAGATTGTTTTATGCTCTCATGTTATTAACTTCCTTTATCTTTGACTGTTTGTTGGATTTCATTTTTTTTTTTTTTTTTGGGTGCTACTTTTTTTTTTGTGTAATTTTGTGGAAGGCATTTTTTTTCACGCTTTTTATCTATCCACTGTGCTCTCAGCATTCTACAGAACAGCAGCTCTGCAGCTTCTACATAATTTACCCCCATGCGATTCTCCTTTATTTTGCTTTTAATGTATTATCTAAACGCACCCCCACAAGAGTTCTCCGGGCATGCTTGAAGGCGCTCCCTGTCCCTCGACAGATTCCAAAATGTTAGGATACTTATAAATCCAGCAACTAATTGGCTCCTTCCAGCTGGTTTCAAACTGAATACTCCAATTTTCCTAGCTTCACTTTATTGTGTATATTCATTTCTTTACATTTTGTAGCATGTGAAAAACATGTCTATGGCGTTGATGCAGCTCAGGAAAATATATATCGTTCAGCGATTTTTCCAAGAAAACAGGCCTAAGCTCCAGACTGTGAGGTCTTCGTTTATCATCAGCCGAAGGCAGTTTCAAAATGTCCTTGCCCATGCTTCGACTGAATCCATATCTATTGGCACGTTTAGCTGCCTCCAGATCTAGTTCAGTTGGGATTTTCAGAAAATGCTGGCAGTGTTCAATAAAGCTGAGAACTTGGGCTTTGAGTGAGTTGCCAGAAAAGACGTCGCTGGCAATTTTACAGCAGCCGGATACAAAGGCAAAAAAGTTGAGTCCTGAAGAATGAATTAGCAAGAGTATTATTATTTTTTTTTAATAATAACATAATTGAAAACAATAAATAAAAAACAATTAAAAAGCAAAAGACCCTTTTCCATGCCTTCAACATAGTGGGCACCACGTCCAGCTGTATGTTAAGCAGTATTTTTATCCGCTAAATTTGTTAAAGTACAAATGTCACCCCCCCCCCCCCCCCCGCGCTTCTCTGATGCAACAATACCCTCTCAGAATCAAAGAGTGAGCACTGATATTTCTTTACTTTTGCTGGAACAACTTTTAGTTTACATCTAAACGCTATTGATGTTTATGTTCATGTTGACTGTAGCAAAAGCATTTTTGTTTGTCTGTAAGAGCCTTTATTGTTATTTTTAATTGGAGAGGGATGGAGGAAGAAGAAGAAAAAGAAGAAGAAGCAGAAGAAGAAGAAGGAGAAGAAGGAGAAGAAGAAGAAGAAGAAGAAGAAGAAGAAGAAGAAGAAGAAGAAAGAGGAAGAATAAGAAGACAAAAGAGGATGAGCATATGCACATGCGAGAGAGACAGCGATGAAGACAGAGAGAGAGAGAGAGAGAGAGAGAGAGAGAGAGAGAGAGAGAGAGAGAGAGAGAGAGAGAGAGACGAAGAGAGAGAGAGAAAGATGACAACAAACGTACCCGAAGTCCTCTCGGGGTTCATGAACTCCCATTTCCTCTGCATATCAATGTAGAGGATATCTATGTCCGCACTTGATATACCTTTTCTGCTCAGGTGACATTTTCTGAAACAACATCTACATCTGAGTAAACTTTTGTACAAATAAAATCAATGTAATGCACCACATGTGGAGACAGAAAGTCTACAAAAGGTGGCAGTGCTCCCCACAGACTATCTATTAAAGCTGTGCTAAAAATGAAGCTGTAAAAGGTGCCAGTCTGTGAACAGTTAAAACAAAATGTTTGAAGGTTTGAGCAATGGATCAACAACATAGCACAAGGGCAGTAACCCATAAGTGCTCCGTTCAACTCCTAACTCAAGCCAGAGCCTGGATAATCCCAGCGCAGTGCACGAATTCTGCAGCACTGGCGAGGATCCTGAATTTGTTAATCACCGACAAATGTTGAGTGGGAGAAAATAGAGATGGCTGAGATATGTTTTGTAAAATGGTTCGTGACATTTTTACCAAGATCATCTCTTCGATGGACTTCAAATGGAAGAAGGAGTCGTGGACGACATAAAGAAACCTTTAGATCAGCGGTTCTCATCCTGTAGAGTGCGACCCTTTTGTGGTTCGAACGAGCGTATCTATCACAGGGGTGGCCAAAGATCATAGGAAAATTCATATTCACGGAAATAATTGTATGGGTGGAGGTCACCACAACAGGAGGAACTGTATTAAAACGTCGCAGCATTAGCAAGGTTGAGAATCACTGATGTAGAATGTCTCGGCGATAGACAGGATGGAGAGAATCAGTCTACACTTTTGTCACTTTTGTTGTATGTGAAATTTACTGTGTTGTTTACAGAGCTAATGAAGCCCGGGTTTTGTGAAGCATGGATACACACGGGCATGCACTTTTTGTTGACAGGTTGTGAATGCAAACGTCGGTGTCATTTGAAGAAAGTGGAACAGGTGCCACTAGGGAAACATAGGTCACATGAAGTTCATGACGAACTTGATGGCATCATGGATATTATGCCAACTTTTTGGAAAGTACAGAACGATTGTTTCTATGTCGCCGGCCACTCACATTGTGTATATTACAGCCTTCTCAGACTTCAGGTACGACATGAATTTACTTTAAACCACGAAAAGTAGGCTACAGTCTCTCGTAGGGCATACACTAAAACTGTGGGGGAAGGGGGGTTGGGGTTAGGACCAGTTATAGATGTTCTGAGATCGTTAAAAGTGGTCACATCGTGTAATATAGAACACGCAACATCGCCGGTGGCAGTATCGAATACAACACAAAGTGACACCCCTATAACATAGAATAGCACGTGTCAGGGCCAACCAGTATTTTTGGGGGCTAAAAACATTACAAGTACCCATGAAGACTTTAAAAAAAAGTAATCAGGCAATCGCAGTTCAGACTTCATAGCAAATGGATCACCCCATAGTTGCTTCGTTCTTGTGCCAACGAAAAGCACACAGAATTTTCATCACAGTCCCCTGTAAAAACTGTCATAGACTGCAGTCTCAGAAATCTGTAGCATACACAGGCATTAAATGCATAAGCCAGCTGCCAGTGGTGCCAGCGCTAAAAATACAGTTCATTGTTGATCAAAACAGCAGTGTAACAACAAATCAGTAGTTGCACACGCAGTTAATCACATGAGACACAACCAGTTCTGTGACACCAGGTCACTCGCCATTTTCTAAATCTGCTGTTCACAACAGAAACCACGTTAACCGCAGCTGAAAAGTATTACAAATTAAATCCACACTTCACAGTGTCACGACAAGCACTAATCCTAGTATCTAGGCATTGAAACTATGTCATTTCAGTCTACATAAGGAGGAAAATGCAACAGCTAGCAATTGTCAGAAGCAAAAACATGACACGACTAAAAACAGGAAGTATATCAGACAACCAGACTGACTAAAAATGAATTAGAAAAAAATTGGAAAAAAAAACAAAACACCAAAAAATAACAAAAAAAAAAAAAAAAATGAAAAACCAAATAATCAGAACCACTAAACAGAGAAAGAGGAAAACAACTGTGTACTAACCTCGCAAACAGTCGAAACATGGATGGACTGAGTCGCAGGCATCCTTTCACGCCGAGACACAAGATGAAAATGTCAGCCAGGTTCTCCACAATTCGCTCATCCTGGAAACTGCTACCGTACAGGGCTGGAAATATCTGCTTTAGACACGACCGCTCCTCAACCAACCGACCACCATCCTTATCTTTCTCATCACCATCATCTGGAGATTCCAGCTGTCGGTTATCATAGGCCAACACTTGTGACTTTCTTTCCCCATGTTCCTCCTCTTCCTCTTCTTCTTCTTCATCCACTTTGTCCTCTTTCTCCTTGTCATCCTCATCTTTGTTAATTTCTTCTTGCTCCTTCTTCTTTTCCTCTTCTGTCTCCTCCGCCTTCTCCACCTTCTCCTCCTTCTCCTCTTCATCCTTCATCACCACATCTTCATTGGAGAAGTGTTCACTTTTGGTAACTAGGTCTGGAAGAAAGTTAACACGATTTTCTATAAACTCCCCATCTGAATTTCTCTCCATCTTTTTACGAATCCAGCTTTTGAGACTCCTCATTCTGCTGATCCCATCCTGTGTTGAATCCTCTGATCCTGTGGAATCTGATTTCCTGTCTTCATCAGAGTTCATATCCTCCTCAGCTTCAGCCTGGGTCTCATTTCCAAGAAACGATTTATTTCTGGACATCCCTGATTGATCAAACATTGACTTTTCTACATTATCGTTGCTATCGACATGTCTAATGGTGATATCTCGTTCATGTCTATGATTGTGTCTACGTTTTTGCTGTTCTTGACTGTTGGTATCCATGTCTTCCTCGCCACTGTTGTTTAGATGTCTATGTCTGTGCCGCCTTCTGTGAGAACAGAAATATTTTGGGGTGGGGCGTACAGTAAAAACCTTGTGTGTGTGTCTTTTTTGGTGTATAATTTATTGATTAAACTAAAACATTTAAATGTAAAAATGTCTGATTTTTTTCACAGTTTCTTTCATATGTTTTAAATCAGTTTTCTTCAAACCCTGGCACTGGTGGGCCACGAGAAATTTCCTTCGGGCCGGCTACAAATTATGCTAAATGATGTAACGAGGTAAGGTATGTAGTTATTCCCTTTGTTCTGTGCAATATATGGGGATATGAAAAGGAAGTTCATTAATAAATGTAAAACTTGGTGCAGTACACATTGAATGGGATGTAAAGAGACAGAGAAAGACTTGGCTCCACGAATCTGGAGAGGAATGACGTGTAAATGTATGTTCTATGAATGTTGCCAGGCTAGACTTGTGCATCACGTGTCACGCTAGGTAACGGAATACAGAGTTCATGTTGCTTGCAGATGCTGCTGCAGTAACAGGTTTCCAGTGTCAGGGATCCCGATGATAACGTGACAGGTCGAAGACGAGAGGTCTGGATAGTTTTCACAAAGATCTGCATCGGCCTGGATGGTCTCTAGTGACGGTGGCCTCAACATATAGGTGTCGCTGGAATGACAGACACGTTAGTCATGAAAGTGGATTTGTGCGATCGGGCGTTGATTGACTGTAACAAACACTGGACATAATGTGACAGGAGAAATCCTTCGGAGCACTGTCCTTTATGCATACCTGTGTAGGAGGAGGAATGACTGTAATAATGTAATTAAGCTTATCTTGTGATGCAATCCGTTTTTATGATATCTAAATATAGTGAGGACTTTGGCGGTGGACCTGTGTTCGGAGTTCTATGTTATTGTTGAGCGGGAGTTGTAACTAGTAAGACTGACATCATTGAGTGACCCTCTGGACTTTTGGCAAGTGTGCGAGGCATCATGTTATCTAGTACTTCTCCAGCTAACTTCGCAAGCGTCAAGAGGTGCCAAGCCAGAGGTTTTCTCAGTTCGTAGACATGCTAGTTTTAAAAACCAATCTAAAAATCGAATGGATGTTAATGTGGTGCTTCGTATATAAGAAAAAAAAAAAAACGCTCCAGAGATAGTTATCAGATTAACAAAGCAATGTTTCCAAGTTGGGAATTTGGATTTAAAAAAAAAAGACGCAACCAATAGATTAAACAATTTATTGCCTGGCATATTTTGTTGTATCTCTTCAGGTGCATACTACAATAACATTTGATTAAAGACGGTTTTTGAAATGTAGTTGATTTTGTCTTTCAGTTCAAAGGATTCATTTACTTTCTTTAATTTTAATCAATTATTACTGTAAAAAGGAAACTGAACCTTCTTCGTCTTCTTCTTCTTCTTCTTCTTTTCTTCTTCTTCTTCTTCCTCTTCTTCTTCTTCTTCTTCTTCTTCTTCTTCTTCTTCTTCTTCTTCTTCTTCTTCTTCTTCTTCTTCTTCTTCTTCTTCTTCTTCTTCTTCTTCTTCTTCTTCTTTCCTTCTTCTTCTTTTCTTCTTCTTCTTCTTCTTCTTCTTCTTCTTCTTCTTCTTCTTCTTCTTCTTCTTCTTCTTCTTCTTCGTCTTCGTCTTCTTCTTCTTCTTCTTCTTCTTCTTCTTCTTCTTCTTCTTCTTCTTCTTCTTCTTCTTCTTCTTCTTCTTCTTCTTCTTCTTCTTCTTCTTCTTCTCCTCCTCCTCTCATTCGCTTGAAATAAATTATCTATATCTGCAATGTTGTCTCTAGTAAAAACTTTACTGTCTTTTGTAATTCACTCAGTGACCCGTAAAGTTTGTCTTGTGCCCGTGTTTCTCTCGGCCAAAAGTTTTGCCTTGAAATACTCTATGTGGGACAGTCTTGGAGGACTGAAACAATGATGGCACAGTTTTGAAATTATTAAATATCCAATACCGGGACGTGAAGAAACAAATGGCAGAAGGCATGGTACCAGGAAGAAGAGGAAGGTGTCAACCAACATGAAGATGGGCACAGGATATATTTGACTCCTTGGTGGAAGAGCTGGTGAAAGATTGCATTATTATTATTTTTTTTTTTTCAGGTAGACCGTGATAAGAGCGATGTTCTAAAAAGCTGATGAAAGAGTGAGCTTCCTCCAGACAGACCAGGATCAGACACATTCTGTAAAGCTGACGAGAGACTGAGCTTCCTCCAGACAGACCAGGATCAGACACATTCTGCAAAGCTGACGAGAGACTGAGCTTCCTCCAGACAGACCAGGATCAGACACATTCTGTAAAGCTGACGAGAGACTGAGCTTCCTCCAGACAGACCAGGATCAGACACATTCTGTAAAGCTGACGAGAGACTGAGCTTCCTCCAGACAGACCAGGATCAGACACATTCTGCAAAGCTGACGAGAGACTGAGCTTCTTCCAAACAGACCATGATAAGAGCGATGTTCTGCAAAGCTGATGAGAGACCAAGCTTCTTCCAGACAGACCATGATAAGAGAGATGTTTTGCAAAGGACCTGCTACTTGATGATGAAAATGACCAGCAAGTGAACTTGTCCAGTTGAACTTTTGTTTTGCTTTCATCATACACAATCTATAAAACCCCTGAGAGACTCAGCCCTAATTTACCTTCTCCGTGTCAACTTGTGTTTTGGAGCTACCAGAGTCAGGGTATCCCGAATGAGTGCTCTCTTCACATCCTCATCTTTACTGGAAATCACATAGTTAACACAGCCATCCTCACTTTCATGTTCTTCGGTGATACTGAGGCTTGGGTTTGCGTTTACCTCCAGTAACATTGGCTGTAGATTTTTCAGGAGGATAATGTCAAAGCCGAGAACCTGAATGAGAAACAGATTGTACAAATACCAGTTTTATTCTGATGTTAATGACAGAACAGAAATGATCCACCACGAATTCTAAATGTAACTAGAAGAGATGGGATTTAGTTCCACGTTAGTCTCCCCAAACAAAGTAGGTCACGTTCCATTGGCAAATGTGTTGAGCTGGTCTACTGTCCTACAGGTTATGGGTGTGCCGCTTTGTTGTTTGTTTTTGTTTTTATTCCGAGAAAGAGAATGCCTGTGACAAAGGTTACATCACTCTCTAAGGAGTTTTGTGTAAGAACCAGTTTGTCGATGTTTCTGCAGTGTTAAGAGTGCTGGCATGCTAAAATATACATATCTATATGAGATGGTGATGAAAGAGTGACTTGTGTAGTGACTTGGATTAAAGTGAGGAAGAACTGTGCAGTGTCGTCGACCTCACTCTCTCGCCTGAGTCATATCTGGGTCTAGTGGCAAGACAGAGTCAGGACGACTGGAGATACGTCTAGGTGCAGTGGATGACCAGGGCGTTCTACGTGCCTCGCCATGCTCTTTGCGCACCACAGCGCTTTGCTAGTGTCGCCGTCTTGCCCGTTGAACCAAATGTGGTTTCCTCCGCGCATTCTGCCGACAGTAGTCTTTGCATGCTTGGATAGGCAGATCCTAACTCACCGAGGGTTTAAAAAAAAGAGCATCAGCTACCCTCACCTGGTTTAGCCGGCCTTTCAAAGCCGTTGCCCAGAAAAAAAAGGGGCGGGGGAGGCAGCTGAGTGTCCTCACAAAAACGGGAATGCCCGTTTGAGCTTGATGGCCTTACTGCTGGAGCCCAGCCGCGGCACAAACCAAGGCTCGCACCCAATGCCCCTTCAAAACCTGACGCTCAAAGGCAGATAGGAATAGAGAAGAAGAAATGTCTAGTATGTGCGCTGCGTCACTAGGTGTCGAAGTTTGACAGATGATAAGTAGCCGAGACAGGGTGCGCTCGGCTGCTTCGTGTATTGTGATTCTGTGAAGTCTAAGACTGTCAGTAACCTCTTTAATCCATTGACTTTTAAGTCTCCCTCTGCGGCTTGGTGTTTCCATTATCATTTTGTAAGCTCAGGCTGTCGATATCGCTGGATTCATTCTAAGTGGCCAAACCATTTCAGTCTTTCTGTGTTTCTCAGTGAATTTAATGATGATTCATACATGATCTGTTCTGGTATTGTTCAGTTTTTCTTAAGCAAATAATTTCACAGGTGGTTTTCTATTGTGCTCTTTAATTAATATCATCATTATTCTCTTTATACTGTAGATCACTCTAGCTAGAGGATATTGTCGAACCAGTAGCGTAAAGAATACAAGCATCCTACGCATATTTTTGTTTTTTTCTTCATAGAATACAATGTCGAACAAAAGAATTTAAGAAATGTAGGCACTATGAAAAATTATTTTTCTTATCTGTGCTCACTCTAAGACCTAAAACATCAGGCAAAGAATATCATCTTAGTTAGCTGTGATTTCAGCAATTATGAATTTCTTGTTGCTTCTGATTTTCCATTTCTGCTATTTGCCTGTTTGATTTTTTTTCATTTTACAGTCCATGCTGTGTGGTGTTGGTAGTCATGTCTATTCATAACCTTTTATGTACTTTTAATCAATTCTGACACAGATGATCGTCCATGCCATGATGTCAAACTGTCCAGCATCTTTTCTCTCGGTCTCTTTCTGCCTCTCCTCCTCTCCAACTTTCCTACTGTCATGTTGTACTCCAGTTTTCTCCTTTTTACCACTTGACCAAAGAATACAGATTGCATTTTTCTGATGTTGGCAATCAATTCTCTTCGTGAGTCAGTTTCTTTCAAGACATCTTCATTACTGTTTTTATCTGTCCAGGGTATTCTCGTCATTCATCTATAAAACCACATCTCCGCAGCTTCCAAATAAGTTTTCACTAATTTACCAACTGTCCATGATACACTTCCATATATCAAGGCAGGATTTATAAAGGTTTTAGTAATTCTTTTTTTATTTGACAAAGATGATAGGTTTAGTATATTCACCATCACCACCGCCACCACCACCACCACCATCACCACCATCACCACCACCACCACCACCATCACCACCACCACCACCACCATCACCACCACCAACACCACCACCACCACCACCACCACCACCATCACCACCACCACCATCATCACCACCACCATCACCACCACCACCACCACCACCACCACCACCACCAACACCACCACCACCACCACCACCACCACCACCACCACCATCACCACCACCACCACCACCATCACCACCACCATCACCCCCCCCCCCCCCCCCCCCCGCCCCCACCACCACCACCACCACCATCACCACCACCACCATCACCACCACCACCACCACCACCACCACCATCACACCACCCACCACCACCACCACCACCACCCCCCCCCCCCCCCCCCCCCCCCCCCCCCCCCCCCCCCCCCCCCCCCCCCCCCCCCCCCCCCCCCCCCCCCCCCGCCCCCCCCCTCATCACCATCACCACCACCACCACCACCACCACACCACCACCACCACCAACACCACCACCACCACCAACACCACCACCACCATCACCATGTAGCAAATTCCTATACAGAACATCAAATGTTTACTGTAGAATTTATTTTCCCCCACAAACCTGTTCATAAATCAAAAACACAAACTCACCTGGAAGCAAGATGGCCCAGCTCTGCCAGCTGGTATCGCTGCTTGATGCTCCACTTTCAGCTCTCCCACAACCGCAATTAAAGTTTTGGTCACCAGCTGCTCAATTTTGGTCCAGAGCACCCGCACGTCGTGCCCCATTCTGTGCAACATTTTGAGAACCGCTGACATCTTCCGCTTGCTGCCTTCGTCATCCTGAAGCAGACATTGAAATCAAAACACAGTCGTACCTCGGTACACGTCCTTAATCCCCCCCCCCCCCACCCCCCCCCACTTCCTTGGACGGATACCAAACAAAATGTATACCACAAAAATTTTCCCCATAATAAATAAAGGGAGATGATTTATCCATTCCCATGGGGCCAAATCTTTTTGATTGTTACTGGCTTTTTAAACATTGATGGGGGTTGTATAAAATAATTTACACACTGATCAATACTCTGATACATAAATAAATCTGAAAAAAAAATAAAAATAAACGTATCCTCACTTTACATTCTTAAGAACAGACAAGTGCTTAATAGGATAGTGCTGAGAAGAGGGAGGAGATATTTTTGCTTGGGAGTACAGTCCCCTTCCAATAAAACTTCAGGAATCCGAAATTCATATGTATAAGTCTGCGTGTGTGAATGTCTCTGAATGTGTGTTTGTTTGCATGTGTATATGTGTGTGTGTGCGTGCGTGTGTTTGCGTGTGTGCTTGCATGCGAGTGTGTGTGTGAGTGTGTTTTTAACTTTTTATGTTTCTTGTTTCTTTTCCATACTTCGACCTAATTAAGGCTAACTGGATTTGGCGTTTACTCGTGCACTTTTCGTCCTTTTTAGGACAAATTTTGTTTTGTTTTTTAAAGCCCTACTCTGGCTCTTGCCAGGGGCCGCAATATACCCTGGCCATAAATATGGCCTAAAGGCTGAACGCGGTTCCTGGGACCTCTCCACGGTGATCCTCACCCACATGGTGGCACATTGTGTCATCAGGTGTTTATCGCTTGTGTGATGTCCTGGTGGGGTAGAAAGTCAGTCAGTCAGTCAGTCGTTTACTAAAAATATGTCCAAAGAATGAAAAGCTAAAGAAGGAGAAGAAACAAGAAACCAACAAGAAACAATACCTGTTAATTACTCACCTTGTCTGAAATTTTGAAATCAGTGCTTTTCTTATTGAGTGAGTAGTTGGTTAAATGCATGAATGTCTCGTGCATGTTCTTGTTGCTCGGCGTCTCGTAGGGCAGCGTCGAGAAGCGAGCCAGACCCTCCCTGCAGATGTAGAACTCCAGCGGTTCTAACGACTTAAGCACCACGTAAACTCGAAGATCAAATTTGTATCTGTAATAATAAGGTCAAATTGTACATGTGGCACATCAAATTTGTATCTGTGACAGTTAGGTCAAATTTTACATGTGGCATATCAAATTTGTATCTGTGACAGTTAGGTCAAATTGTACCCGTGGCATATTAAATTTGTATCTGTGACAGTTAGGTCAAATTGTACATGTGGCATATCAAATTTGTATCTGTAACAGTTAGGTCAAATTGTACTTGTGGCATATCAAATTTGCATTTGTGACAATTAGATTAAATTGTACATGTGGAATATCAAATTTGTATCTGTGACAGTTAGGTCAAATTGTACATGTGGCATATCAAATTTGTATCTGTGACAGTTAGGTCAAATTGTACCTGTGGCATATGAAATTTGTATCTGTGACAGTTAGGTCAAATTGTACATGTGGCATATTAAATTTGTATCTGTGACAGTTAGGTCAAATTGTACATGTGGCATATCAAATTTGTATCTGTAACAGTTAGGTCAAATTGTACTTGTGGCATATCAAATTTGCATTTGTGACAATTAGATTAAATTGTACATGTGGAATATCAAATTTGTATCTGTGACAGTTAGGTCAAATTGTACATGTGGCATATCAAATTTGTATCTGTGACAGTTAGGTCAAATTGTACCTGTGGCATATGAAATTTGTATCTGTGACAGTTAGATTAAATTGTACATGTGGCATATCAAATTTGTATCTGTGACAATTAGGTCAAATTGTACTTGTGGAATATCAAATTTATGTCTGTGACAGTTAGGTCAAATTGTAAATGTGGCATATCAAATTTTTATCTGTGACAGTTAGGTTAAATTGTACCCGTGGCATATCAAATTTGTATCTGTGACAGTTAGGTCAAATTGTACCCCTGGCATATCAAATTTGTATCTGTGACAGTCAGGTCAAATTGTGCATGTGCCATATCAAATTTGTATCTGTGACAGTTAGGTCAAATTGTACCTGTGGCATATCAAATTTGTATCTGTGACAGTTAGGTCTT